CGGGGCGAGCGCGCCGGCGGCGCCGCTCCCCATTGGACGTCGCCGCACGGGTCACCGCCCTGGGCCGCCGACGCGCCACGTCTCGAGCGCAGGCCCCGCCCTCTGACGGGTTTCCGGTGTGTGTGTGGGGGCTGGGCCGATCCCGGAAGCACGGAGAGCAGGGAGACCGGGTGGACCCGAGATCCGGCAGGACTGGTCCTGTCGAGTGGGCGTGTGCGAATGATCGGCGGTCCAGCGGGGGTCTGTGCCTGCGGTACATCGGCGCCCCAAACCGGGCTCCCGATGGGCTCAGGGGCGGTGGTAACCAGATCGTGAAAGGGTCTCCTAGAGCCGCATTATCACTGCAAAGCAGGTGCGCCCACGGCGGTGCTCCTGCGGAAGGGCTCCCGATTTGGGAGCGCCCCGGGGCCTCGCGACGCGCGTCGTCCCCTGAGCCCTAGGAACGCTGCGCGGTAGGTCTCCATCTACGTCTCCCAGATGGCAGGTGAAGCCCAGGGGCGCCCGCCAAGCCAGCAGCCTGCTTGGACTCGAACTCGAGCTCTGGCCTGACACTGATGCCCCAGACCTAGGGGAGGAAAGCAAGACAGCTGCTCCCAGCAACCTGCGCGCGTACTGCTTCCACGACTTGGAGTGCTTCTAGAAATCGTGGGCTCCCAAGTTTTTAGAGAAGGGGTGTTAAAATTCGCTTATCGCACCCATACGTGGCAATTTAGCAGGTGGCAACCAAATGCCCGCCCCCGCCCTCGTTGAGGGTGTCTGTCAGCTTACCCTATCCCCAAAGCTGGGTGGTCCGTATACCCCGGGGCGGGAGGAGGGCGCACAGGCCAGCGAAGGCAGCAGCCAGTTCCTCCACAGCAGAGCCGGGTCCTGGGCTTCCGCCCACGCGACTTCGGCTCTTCTTACTTCTATCTTCTGCCACTTAACTTACTCCTCACAACTGTGGGCAGACTCTTTTCTCCTCCTCGAGAGACCAGGTGCACAGGACTGCAGCGTGGGCGTGGAGCAGCTTCACGGTACGCGGGAACCACAGGCTGCCTGGCGCTGATCTTCAGCTTCATGGGGTTGACTGGGCACCCGGGGAAACAGTTCCAGGGCCCCTCGGCTGCTCTGTGCAGCCGGCTGTCTTCACCGGGAGCTGTGTCCTCGTTAAGCAGACCAGTAGGTGGCGGCAAAATGGTCTGTTTTGAGTGAAAAAACCCTAGAATTCCGAAGTCTTAAGAACTAAAAGATTATCACTTTACCATCAAGGGGAAAAACATGCATCAAATAAGGCAGCCTCAAGCCACCAAGACCACAGGTATTTGGAGGATAGAACAAGGTCACAGGCTCGAGCTGTGGGCCTGCGACAGGGCTTCTCTGCAGGGCAGGTGATGCCTGGGTGACATCCCTGATGTGGCCCGGGCCTCACCCATGCCAGCAGGTGCCAGGAATGACAGGCAGCGCTGTGCCCAGCTGCCGCTGCCCTCCCTGCGCGGGTGTAGTGTGGTCCAGGCCCCGCGGTCAGCTGGAGCCTGGGAAGGGGCTGGTTTGGCTGAGGTCCATGAGAAACGACTCAGACTGGTTTGTGCAAATGTTTTGTTTTTTTATTTCCACATTTATATCACAAGGTGTCCACTTACTGGACCAAATAGCAAAGTTGCTCCCTTCTGTGTCCTGAGAACACAGAAGTCTAGGTACTGTACATTCACTAAGGCTCCTTGTTTTTGCAAATCGCATTATGACAAATAACCATAAGGCAAACGAATCTAAAGGAATGGTTATGAGTGTTCCCAGCGCAGACAGGCTCCCTGCTCACCACAGCTCGGCTCAACGCGCCAGTAGCACCCGCACTTTCTCTGTGGAGTTTGGCTGGCTGTTGGGGGAGGCTCTAGAAAGGTGACATTTTCTAGGTATGTGCAGGAAGGGAAAAGAAAAGGGAGGAAGAGAGAAGAAGGTATTTGGCTGGTGGCTGGGCAGCTGAAAGGGGATGAAAATAAACTTGAGAAAACAAGTTTCTGCAGCATTTCTTTAAGAACGGGGTTCAACCGAAACCAGACAGAATGGGTGGGTGCCCCCGCGATGGAGTGTGGGTTAAGCCGGCCAGCCGGCCCACCCACCCGATGCCAGCGCTTGCAGACCGGGCTGGGCAGGGGCAGAGGCCAAGGCCAGCCCACCCGCCGTCTCACAGACACCGTGCCGAGCTCAGGAACAGAAAAGGCAAGAAGACATGAGATGCCTGCGTCTGTCACCATTAAAGGTAACCAACTCTCCCACCGCTGTCCCGTGCCTACCTGCAGCGGGGTTGCCGCCCGTACAGCTGGTTGCTATAGAGTTCTGAACTCCCTTGGCCGTCCTTCCTTCTGCGCGGTCCTTCCTTTGCAATCGTGTTAGTAAACCGGTAGCAGCATTTCACAAAAGAAGGAGCGTGTGGAGGGAAGGGCTGGGAGACCCCGCGCTCCTCCCCCTCCCGCCCAGGCCGCCCGCCCTGCAGGTTGGGAATGCATTTTGGGGCGCAGGCCCTCAGTCCAAGCAGACATAAGGCAGAACGTTCAACCTCCCGTCGTCGCCGTGTGGGTCGAGCGATATGCACTGCGTCCAGTCATACCAGTTACCCTGTGTGTCCTGACACCCGTTCACCCCCGGCCACTGGTCGGCCTGCAGTCGGTCCAGATCACCCTGCGTCACCTCGCGGCTCAGTCCCGGGAGGTCGGCGGGTGGCGCGTGGGGCACCAGCACGTGCGGCTGCCGGGCCCCTCGCCGCGTGCTCTCCTCCTGCCGCAGGTACTCGGCCATGAAGTGGTGTGCCCCTGGGGTCTGTGCGCCCGAGGACGATAGGAGGCTGCTCTGGCGGCTCAGGTATGACTGGATGATCTCATTGCGTGACAGCTCCTTCCAGTTTGTCTGCTCGAAGGGGCTCTGGAGGCTGGCCTTGGCCTCCTGCTTGTCCAGCTCTGTCCTGGGAGGCTGCTCCGTGTGCACGGGGCTGTCAGCCCGCATTGGCTCTTTCTGGGTCAGAGGTTTGATCTGTCTCGTCATGGGGTCAAAGGTGAGCTTGCGCTCTTTTAACCGGACAGGCTTGACACCCGCCTCAGCCACCTGCCCATCCAAGTTCACCGTGTAGTCGCGGGGCCGGTACCTCTTTTTCTTTCTACTGTCCGAGCCACCCGAGGAGGCTGCATCACTGTCCGCCTTGGAGGAGTCCGGGGAGAAGCCCGCCCGGGGCAGGTGGGGCTCGGTGGGGGACAGCCCAGCCTTGCAGCCCAGGCCTGCCAGCCGCTGGTGGCCCTCTGGCTGCTCCAGCCAACGCACCGGGCTCTCTGAACTGGGCAGCAGCTCCAGCCGCCGAACCGGGGGCGTGGACGGCTGGGCCAGTGGCGGCGGGGACGGCACCTGTGTGGCCTCGAGCACCAGGGGCCGTGGGGAGGGGCTGGGCACAGAGCCCTTGGGCGTGTACGGGCTCCGTTGGCGGGCAAAGGAACCCTCATGCCGTGAGTTCCGGGGGCTGAAGGAGCAGCGAGACGGCGCCCTGGGATGGGGGGGCCCAGAGGTCTCTTCTACCTTGGCCTGCAAGCAGGGCCCAGGGGGCTGGCCCAGGCCTGGGGAGCTGGGGTGTGGCCTCACAGCGTTCACAGGGACCTTGCCGCTGAGCTGGTCGTTCTCGACAGCCTCCAGGCGGCTGCCCTCAGAGCCCATGAGCCCACTGCCATCCAGGGGGCTGGAGAAGCTCTCCGGGCTCCCACTGATCCCGTTGGTGGGGAGTGGGGAGGAGTTGGGACCCAGGAGGTCGTGGCAAGCTTTGGAGACCTTGGGAGGCGGGCCAGGATGACCGAGGTCACGCTGGTCCCCTCGGCGCTTGCGGCTGCCCAACCTGTCCAGCCGGGGCCCTGGCAGCCTCTGGAGGTCATTGCGGTGCTTGAGGTCGGGGACACCCTTGGACACGCTGGCCCCGGCCTCCGGCCGGCAGTTGTGAGCGCCCCCGTTGGCCCCACGCAGTGCCACCTCATTCTGCTGCACAGGCTCGATGAGTTTCTGCCAGCTGCGCAGCAGCTTCTTGGCCCGCTTGGCGAGCTCCTCGTTCTTGGTTTTCTTGCGGACATCGTTGACGAGCTTCCCAAGTCGAGTCTCCTACAAACACACACACGTTTAGGTTGAGGCATCCCACCTTGGGCGGCCAAGCCGCTGGCTGCCCAGACTCAGCCCACACAGACTTCCCATGCCCTGTGCTGACACAAAGCCTCGAAGCCAGTCCTGGGCCACAGGTGGCTCTCAGCAGCACTGCCTCACGGCCTCCAGGGCCTGGAGGCACTGGGCCATTAGGGCCACTGCAAGGACAGGGGGGCACGCGTGGGGGACAGCGAACAGGACCCGCACAGCATGGGCAGAGCTGGCTGGGGCTCCCTCCTGTGAGGCGAGGAACCGGGCTGGGCCACAGTACTCACCTCCAGTGCCTCTTTGGTAATGGGGTATCTCTCCAGGCTGGAGATGACTTCCAGCACCGCCACCATGTTCCGGATCTGCAGGACAAGAGCCATGCGTCAGTTGGGCCTCGCCCTCCTCCCTGAAGCCTGGCAGCCTCGGGGCCCTGCTCCAAGCCTCCACCACACGTCTGCAATGGGACCCTCTCCTGACAGGCAAGCAGTTCTGCCTCAGCTTCCAGGGATGGGGGCTGAAGACCTAGCAGATGAAAGCACATCACTTCAGAGAAAAGATCAGTACAGAGTAAGCTGGTCAACTGGGTCACATAAGCAAGGGCTCTGGGGTCATCTGGACACACTAGGCACTGAGCAGGCATCGCTAAATGAGAGAAGACAGACCCCAGCAGATGCATGCAGACACACCTGGCTCTGGGCAGCAGAATGGCTAGCAGGGCCCTGGTGACAGCTCTGGCAGAGACCGGGCAGAGTCTGTGGTGCCGCCTGGCTGCAGCAGGCATCAGGACCAGGTGCACTGAATGCACAGGCAGAGCCAGTGTCTGGTGATACTGGCAGCCCTTCCCATAGCAGGCCCATAGGGCAGATGTTGCTGCCATCACACAGCACAGACGCAGAGACAGGACAGCAGGCCTCTGTCTCCGATGTCCCTACTGTGACCTCAGACCCTAGAAACCCCTGGCGGTCTGGTACTGGACAGATGCCAAGCAGCACCAGCCACGGTGACCAATACTGAAACACGGGTGATCACAGAGTGGAAGGGATCCACTGATAAGCTCAGGAAGAGCCCCATGCTGCAAGAGAGGAGCAAAGAGCAGACTGGGATGCATGCACTCACAGAAGACAGGGCTATGACCCCATGTATGCCAAGTACCATACCCCACTCAAAAACAGTCCCAGGCCCACCCGTGCAAGCTACACGCAGCATTGCTAGAAGACAACACAGTATCTCTGCAAACTTTCGACAGACACTCTACTGTGTAAGAAAAGCTGCTCACTGACAAGCAGAGCAGCTGTGCTCGGGATGCAGAGATGACCTCCAGATACCTGGACACACACTGCCGCCAGCTACCTGGCCAAGATCTGGTGCACAGTACAGAACTCCTGCCTGTTCGCAGCAGGCTGACCAGCTGCAGCCTGGTAAAGGCATGCACTGGGCACCTTACTCCCTGTGCGGGCACACAGGCAACAGCCTGCCCAGCCACGGCAGCATTTCCCTGGATACACACAGAGCACGCTTGGAACCTACAGCAAGGTGTGGCTGTGTGCCTCGCTGCTGCTCCATCAAGCATGCCACCAAGAGCCCAGGCCTGGACCTGCTCTGGCTCAGCTAAGCTCTCCAGGAGGCAGGCCCTACTCCCACTGTTACTACAAATAAGGCTGTGTTCACCACCCCGAGGTCGAGGGGCTGAAGCATGAACAGGTGCAGGGTATGGGCTCCAGGTCCCAACTTCCAAGTGGAGTAGAGTGGAGCAGGGCTGAGCCACACCCCCTCTGCAGTCTTGGTCCCTGTGGCTGCTGCAGCCCACCACCATCACCACCTGCAGCTCAAGCCGCAGCGCTGCTCACCTGGGACTCTGGGCCAGGAGTCTGCTCCGGGTGCCCTGGGCTGGGACCAGGAGCCGGTAGGCTGTGCTCCTGGCCATGGGACTAGGGTCCCTGTGGCTCACTAGCTGTCACCCCCCCCCTTGCCGGCCACTGCCAGCTTCGGGAGGATGCTGCATCCCTCAGCTCAAGGCCCGCCTGCCCAAAGCGCTGCTCACACTGCAGCTCTCTGACCATGCTGGGACATGGGTTGTCTTGCCACCTCCAGTCTATCCCTCTGGTCCCCTCTGCTACGTCGGCACTCAGCTTAGCTCACAGTGCTGCTGGGTGGAGCACAGCGGTGAGCACAACTGAGTGGCCCTGAAGCCCTGGCTCCACTGTCCGGCAGGAGATGTGGCTGCCCAGTATGCACCACTCACAGGGAAGCCTGGGCAGCATGGGGGTCGGTCCCAAAGGAGTGACGAGGCCGAGCGCTCTACAGCCCTGGTCACGGCCCCAGTGGGCTCTGGGCTTGCCATGTGGCCTTGTCTCCACCCTGCGGCCGCCCCGACATATTTAGAGCCCTGGGCCCCCATGTGCCCCTGAATCAGCCGTCCTTGCACAGCACAATGCTGCCTGGGCCTGGCTGGCCTGGCGGCACAGAGTGTCCTCGTCCTTGGGCAGACAGTGTCCTGCTCCCAGACGGGAGGGAGGAGGCAGAACACCTGGGCAAGCCCAAGGTCTGGCACGGAGCTGGTGCCTCAGGATGGCTGCTAACCGGTGGCCAGCAGCCAGCCTCCGGGAGCTGTGTGGGAGCAGGGGCACAGGGGCCAGCTGAGCTGGTGCCACGCGCCACAGCCCGCCTGGCTCTGCCCAGTCCTTGGGCTGCTCCTCATGCTTGTTGCATGACACACGCTTGGTCCCTGGCCCTGCTCTCAGAGCACGGCCTCGTTGCAGCCCTGGGGGCTGTTGTAGCCTCCTACCAAGAGCAAGAGCCTGGCACATCATAGCCCTTTGTCCCGGTGGGATTCATTCGCCCAGGCAAACAGCTTTGCCAACAGGAGCAGAGTCCCCCACCAGGGCCACAGCCATACATGCACCTATGGGCTCCTTCCAAGGACGTGGGGTCATGTGGTTTCCTTAGGTGAGTGGAGCCCAGTGTGACCTCCCCGTTGCCCAGTTGACTGTCCCTGCCCACTCATTTGCCCTCTTCACTGGAGGCAAATATTTGGCTGGCCCTGGAGCACCTGATGTGGTAGCATCTGCCCTGCACACAGGGATGCCAGAACATCTGCAGGGGGAGCAGCAAAGGTGTGTGGGGGCAGACCCTGAGGGGCTGCTCAAGGAAGCAGCTGGGAACCCCATAGTGGTCACCCCAAGGAGGTCAGGAAGCTACCAGGTGTGGACAGGTATGCACACGCAGTGATAGAAAGGATCCTGGAGCTTCACATGAACACTTTCACATCCCAGGGGCCACAACCAGGTACATATAGCCCCGTAGGAAGGGATGTCACTGCCAGCTTTCTGGACTCTCACAGACAACCCAAGCTGGGAGACCTGGGCTTTGGCCAGGGGCATCTCAGCCAGCAGAAGTACCGAGGAAGGGTGCCTGTGTTAGTCACCTGTCAGTTACTGGGACATAACGCCTGATACCTGCTACTTAATGGAGCAGAAGTTACTCGGGCTCATGGTTTCAGAGGTTTTGGTCCATGGCAGGCAGGCTCCAAAGTGGAAATGGGATGGCGCAAGGGCTGCTCATTTTATGGCTGACAGGAAGTAGAGAATAGGAAGAGCCTGGAGAGAGAGAGACATCCAGGTCACGCCTCAGTGACCTACAATTTCCTCCAACCAGGCCCCACCTTCAGCTACGGACTTATTCATGGATGAATCAACCAATGAGGTCAGAGCCCAAGATCCAGTCACTGGCTTCCCTGGCCCCACTGAACCTGGGGGCACTGGGGCTCAAGCCCCCAGTCTATCAGTCTGTGGGAGACACTTCACATTTAGACCACAGCAGGCACTGCTATCAGAGAATCCATGTGGCGGGCAGCCCAGCCATGTGCTGAAGGTGCGATGGGGCCCGATGGGGAAAATCAGGTCCCTGGGGGTGTGCCCTTCTTGAAGCAGGTATTGGGATCTTGGCCCGTCCTCTTTCTCTCTCTCTGCTTCCTGGCTCCCTTGAGTCGGGCACTTCCCTCCACCACGTACTTCTGCTGCCATGTACTATTTTAACACAGCACAAACACCGAGTCCAACAGGCCCACACCTCCAACCATATGCCGGAATCCACCTTTCCAGCTCTGCAGTGGACTCTCTGGGGACTTGGTTGTGGTATAGACAGGCTGAATAGCAGAATGCCTAGGGGATGCCTAGATACACACAGGGCAGGCAGGGGCAACACGTCCCACAGGACAGCTCTCATGTGGGCACAGGGAGGCCCTCAGACAGCTGCCTCCTCCATCCCTGGTGTGGCCCAGCCAGTGCTCTCACGCAGCTCAGCTCACAGAGGGCAAGAAAGGGAAGGAAGTGGCCGGACCTGCGAGGATGAACCCCAAAGCAGCCTTGGCAGGAGTCTGGAGCCCAGTGTGTGACACCCACCCTGCTCAGCGGGCTGGGGCCTGACGGTCTCAGAATGCTTGCCTGCAGCAGGATGAGCGTAGTCAGCGTCACACCTCCCCACGGCCCTGTGCCTGAGCCCGCCTCCTGTGAGCAGTGCTGCTGTGTGGTCAGGCCGGCCACCCCCTAGACTGCCACCATTGGCCCTGCTTTGGGGCTGCTGGGCAAGAGCCCCAGCCTGATAATTTCTGTCCTACAGGGGATTTCCAGCCACAATCTGAAAGGAGGAACTGAGATACCAAACACGGCGTCCTGGAGCCCTCTCCTCTGCAGTACGGAGGTCCTGGGGCCTATGCAGCTGGTAAGCGGGGGAGTGTGGCTTTCCACCAGGCACGGCCTTCTGGTGCTTTACTAGCAGGGCACCAGCACCCTGCATACACACTGTCCCCAACCTGCCCCAGCAGGAAATGGACAGGTCACAGAGTGTTCATGAAGAGACACAGGGCCACACCGGATACTCACCAGGCTGCCTTTCCTCAGCATGCTCAAGAGCCATGGTCAGGGAGAACCCAGCCGGGCCACCAGCACAGGGGTTTTGGTCCACCACCAATACTCAGCCCACCCGATGTGATAGCAGTCATCCAGCACCCACCCCACCCAGGCAGTGCAGCTCCCACAACCCAGGAGCCTACCTGGACCCACTGTCTGGGTCAAAGTGGGTCAGCAGCCCCCAGTGGGGCCCTAGCAGTACAGCCTCTGTCAAAACTGGATCATTTTTAAAAGAGACAATGTGGATGTTGTCATCATTAAAAAAAAAAAAAAAAAGCAGAATGGTCTAGACAAGAATTTACAAAACTGCTTAGCTCAAACAACTTTGGAAGTGTTCATCTGCGAGCAAGCTGTCCTTCCCAACCCAAACACACACAGACGGCTCCAGAAGCCAGCAGTCTGTGCGCCTTCAGTGTACAGAGCCTTCCAACGCACCCCCAGCTGAATCACCCAGCACCACACAGCCCCGCAATGCGCACCCGTGTGTGCTTGTGTGCACACACGTGGAGACCGCCATGAATGAGATGAGCGGGGGTGAGTGCGTGCCTCCCTGCTTGCCTGCAGGTTGGTCCCAGCTGCACCACTTCCAGCCAGAGCGAGTCTCCCTGCTGCTGGCTGCTCCACACATGTCCCCGGCAGCTGTCTTGTTCCCTACTTGCAGCAGAGGTGGCCCACGCCAGAGGCCAGGCACACAGGCAGGAGCAAGGAAGCTCCCTTGGGCAGGCGCCACCAGCGCTTTCTGGGCTCAGCCTCGTGTGGCTGCTGAGCTCTGCATGCTAAAGGCTCCTTCTTCACCTGGGCCCTGGGGGAGCCTCACACCCACAGGGGCGTAGTTTCCCCCTCTGTTTCTCAGTAGAAGAACGCTGCTGTGGCAGGCCACCCCCAGCCACCGCGTGCAGAAGTACTTCCTCACCAGCGGGACCACCTGCTCCCACCAGCAGCCAGCCATGAGGGGGCCAGGGTCTTGCACTCACGGCCTCTGCAGACTGTGATGTGCCCAGGAGGCAGCAGGTGGAGCTGAGTGTACACCACGGACAGCCAGGAGGAGGAATCCAGGGGTCTGCACACGGGGACAGCAACCCATGGCAAGCGAGGTTCATGGACAGGACGGGGCACAGAGGCAGCACATGCTCCACAGCCACCCCCCAAACTGCCATCCTCTTCCTTTGACTGTAGGCCTCAGCAGCTTTTCCTCACCAAACTGCCAACCCAAGTGCCCTGGTGGACTTAACAGTTCTTGTAATTCAGTCCCTTTGGGATGCACAAGACTCCCAAAATGTCTTTGCAAATCAGCTCATTCCCATGCAAGCATACAGGACTAGAGAGCTGGACAGTCAGCAGAGCTTTCCATTTCTGCCATAAAGGCCCCAGATGGATTCCAGTGACTGTCTGAGGACAGCAGGCTGGGTGAGAGTTTCTCCTCAGAAAAGCCCCTGACAATGCTAGCTACAGGAGACTAGAAATGGCCCACTGGGTGGGGAGGGGCACGAAGTGCCTGGTCCACACCTCCCAGGGAGACAAGTGATCCGCAGCAAGAACGAGCCAACTCTCTAGGAAGTGAGCGGGAGCAACCTCCAGGAGACAGCCAGGTGACGGCGGTGAGGCTGGCGACAGCACACCTGCACCTCCACCTGGGAGAACCAGGTAGGGGCTGGGGCCATAAGGTTAGGATGGGGAGGACAAAGCCACAGTGAGGTTACCCAGCTGGTCTCCTGTCCTGGCCCACTGTAATGCAAGCAAGACCAGGCACCAACCAGAGGCTGGGGAATCACGAGATGATGCCTGGAGCTCCTGAATGGCATGGTATCTGACCCCCATCCCAGGTGACTGTGCCTAGATCCATGTCCCCGGCAGCTCTCTGGTCATTCCTAGAGGCAGCCTCCATGGCCCATGGAGAGGAGACCAAAGGAGAGAGACCTGCCTGCCTACCTAGGTGTCCTGTGTCCTGGAACCTGAGACCAGTCACCAAATGCTTCCTGAGCACTGACCGCAGGCAGGGCTCCACCAGCCCCAGGCCCTGGATCCTCGGATGGGCCTTATGGTGTGGGTCCCAAGTAGCAGAGACACAGCCCCACCGAGGCCCTCCTGTGGGCTGCTGGGAAGCAACAGCAGGACACAGCCAAGCCTGTGACCACACCACAAGGGAAACCCAGGTCGCCCAGGCAAGCAGCAAGGGGTCAGCGTGTTAGACATGCAGTGACAGGCACTGTCTGCGGTCCTCACTCATGGGCATGCCTCATGGGGTCACCAACTCTGTTCTTCTGAGCCGAGGGGACAGGGAAAGCTAACTGGGATGGGGCCTACCCTGGTGAAGTCCCTTGGCAAATCTGAGGGAGGCAGCCTGGGGCTCTAGTGCACATTTCAGGACAGGGGTCTCCCAGACAAACAAACCCAGCCAGGTGTGAGAGGTGCCCCCAGCCAGCAGCGGGGACTTGGCAAGACAGCCCGAGCCCCAGCCTCACCTCCCTCGGCAACTAGGTGGGGATGGTGACCGGAGCTCCTGCAGGCCTCCCGGGTGAGTGGCCAGCACACACGTGGCCAAGGTCAGTGTCCAGGGTCCAGGGCACTGCAGGTGCCAGCCACCACAGGACTGCACCAGGGGGGCTCGGCCCTGCACCCACAGTTCCTGGGCTTTGCGGGAGTGAGGAATAGTGCCGGATGCAGGGATCTTCCTAGCAGGTGTTCCTGCAATAGAGGCCACCATGGGGCAGCCAAGGCCACTGTCACGCAGGGCACAAGAGGGTGGACACTCGCTCCAACCCAGCACTTCCACCGCAGGCTGGTGCCAACAGAAACACAAGCACCCCCACCCTCAGGGTGTGCACCTCAGCCTGGGAGGGGTGGGCCACTGATGGGCCAACGAGACGAGCTGCTGCACACAGCACCAAGGGGACATCACCCTGCTGGTGTCAGGGAAAAAGCTGATCAAAGAGCACATCGAGAACTGGATCACAATCTCACAAGCAAGACGTCCTCAATGGTGACAGTGGCGAGGGCAGTGGGAAGAGTGACAAAGAACACACTGGCTTCCGGGTACAATCTAGGGTTCCTGCAGGACATTCACCTCACAACATTCACTCCACTGGCAAGCTCAGGGCCTGGATGCTTTTCTGGTGGGTGTGGTGTAGCTGAGTGGCCCCTCATCCCCATGCAGCCCAGCCCCAGGGCAGTGTCAGTGGCCCCAGGCTGGCCAAGACCGTGACACTGGCGCACTGCACCTCCTGGGACACGCAGCCACACAGCCCCAGGGTGGCAGGGGCGCTCTGATGGTTCCTTGGAAGGAGCAACTGGTAAGTTACTGGAGAAGCAGGAGGCGGTGCATGACAGACAGTGAGGACGAGGAGTGGAGGAGGAAAACCTGCAGGTGTGCACAGTGAACTCGATCCCTGGAGAAGGAAACCAGAAGTTTCAGTGGACAGACAGGTAACATGGAAAGCAATGTCCCTGGCCCTAGCAAGACGCCCAGCAGGCCAGACCAGAGACCCATCGTCCAGCAGACCAGAATGGGCTTGTGCATCTATAAGGACTCTCAGCACATGGTATGCTCCTTCCTAGCCCTGACACTGAGCGGGTGGCTCTCCCTGAGACAGCCAGGCCTCGAGCTCGCCACCCTCGTGCTTCCACGCTGCCCCCCACCCCCATCAGGCAGCCTCTGAAACCCACAGCACCCTGAGAGGGCAGGAGGTCGAGAGGCTGCCTCCACTAGGAGCAGCCAGACAGTCTCTGGAAAACCTTCCAGGATCTACACAAAAGCTTACAATAATCGAGTTTAGCAAAGGGGCAGGATACAGGATAAATACATAAAATTCTACTGTATTTCCATATACAAGCCGCAAACATTCAGAAATTGATATTTTTTTTTGAGACAGGGTCTCTAAGTAGCTCAGGCTGGCTCATGGAGATCCTCCTGCCTCAGCCCCCCAAGTGCTGGGAATTATAGATGTGTGCCACTACACCCAGCTAGAAATTGAAATTTAAAAAACCCATCCCATTTATAACAGCAATTACAAAATATGAAGGAGAGGGCTGGGGATTTAGCTCAATGGTTCCACTGCCTGGCTCGCAAGCGCAAGGACCTGAGTTCAATCCCCGGTACCAAAAAAAAATAAGAATCAACAAAATATGAAGGAGGGATAAATGCAACCAAAGACACATGAGCTCTAACTACTGGAAACTCAACTACGGAGGAGAGAAAGTGAAGGAGACTCCAATAAATGGGCAGATACACCATGCAACAGACCAGGACTCGGCATCATTAAAGTGCCAATTCTGCCTCCCTCTGAACCATAGACTCAATGCGATCCCAATCAAAATTCCAAGTGGATCTTCTGGAGAAAGTGCCAAGTTGATTCTAAAAGTTACGTGGAAATACAATGCTCTTAGAATAGCCAAAGAAATTTTTAAAAAGAAAGTTGGAAGATCTGATTAGATTATCTGATTCCAATACTTATTTAATCAAGACAGTGTGGTACTGGAGCAGAAACAGACAAATGGGTCAGTGGAGCAGAAAAGAGGACCCGTTAACAGAACCCCACGTACAGACTAAACACAGGCAGCTCAATGGGGACCAGTGCTCCTTCAACAGACAGTGCTGTGTCCACTCAACTGCCACATGTCAAAACCAAAACAAAACCACACAACAGCAGAAAAGACAATCAACTAAACAAACAAAATGCTATTTCCCCAACCGCACAACATATGTAAACAACACAAAATGTATCACAAAAAATACAAGCACTAAAACTACAGAACAGCTAGAAGAAAGGAAAAAAGGAGAACCTTAGTAAGCTTGGGTTTGACGAAGACCTTTAAAACAAAAAACAAAAAGCACAAACTACAGAGAAAAAAAAATAGGTTTCATTAAAATTTTTTAAATCCTACGGGGCCGGGAATTCAGCTCAGCGGCACCGCAACTGAGTCCCAAGCACGAGGTCCTGAGTTCAATCCCCAGTCCCAGAAAAAAAAATCCTAGCCAGGCATGGTGTCACGTCTGTTATCCTAGCCATTCGGGAGGCTGAGGCTGTTGGATCACTGCAAGTTTGAGGCCAGCCTGGGATACACAGTAAGACCCTGTCTCAAAAAACAAAACAAGGGCCAGGGATTTAGCTCAGTGGTACCACCCCTGCCTTGCAAGTGCAAGGTCCGGAGTTCGATCCCCGGTACCAAAAAAAGACAAAAAAAAAATTGAAATTAAATTTAAAAACTTTTCTCTTTAAAAGACTAAATGTATAAATATGAAAAGGCAAGCCACGAACTGGGAAAAATACATGCAAATAGTATACCAAAGAAAGAACTTTTATCTAGGTTACATAAAGAACTTTCACTTTATTAATTTGATGACGAGGGGAAGAACAGGCAAAGGATTTGAGTGTCCACTCAGACCTTACACCCTAAAAGAGACAAGGACCACAAACACACACTTGAAGAGATGCTCAAAGCCGGTAGTCATCTGGAAAATGAAAAGTCAAACTACTGAGAGCAGCACATCCCTTCTAGAATGGTTAAAACTAAAAAGGCTGATCATAGTAAGTGCTAACAAGGGTGTGAAGCAACTAGAACCTTCATACCCTGCCGGGGGGACCATAAAACAGTACAATCAATCACCTTGGAAGATATTCGGCAGATTCTTAACCCAAAAGCTTGATCAACATATGAACAGACAACCTACAGTATGTAAAATGGAACACTACTCAGCAATGAAAAAGGAACCACAAGGACACACTATTAACCTATATGAATTTCAAAATCAATACACTAAATGAAAGAGGCCAGACCAAAAGAAAATTGGGAGTACTTATTGCCTAACTCTGCCAAGTTCTAAAAAAGGCAAACTAAACTACAGTGACAGAGAGTAGTAGACTGGAGGGGGAGAGACTACCAAAGGCAAGAGGAAATTTCTGGAAAAGACCCATTCATTTAACTTGATGGTGATGATGGCATTCAGGTATATCTATAGGTCAAAATTTATCAAACTGTATGTCAGCCATGCTTTAATAAAACTATAGAAATCAGTGCAGGCAGGGAACAGATGCAACAAGTTTCAACAAAAACTAGGTGAGGCTGTTAGGAAGGCGCTCCACCCCCACACTGGGGAGGAGGAGGGGACCCCTGGGGAATCTCCCCCCCCCCCCCGCCGCCAGATAATGTGAACTGAGGACCCAGCAACCATGCAACAACGCCACACTCTCCATCACAGACTAGGCTCCGCCAGCTTTTCTTTCTGGAACATTCTGCGTGTCCCCTCAACACCTGTGCACTGGACGGATTGCCCATCCCAACTGCAGGTCTGAAAAGCTGGTCCCTGGCTTCAGGCCAGTCCAGCCTTAGAAGACGACCTGGAGCCGAAGGTAGACACCAGGGCCGGGCCTTCCAGGTTAGACAAAACAAGCCCAAGTTACAGATACTCACCTTGGTGCACCTGTGGGGTTTTGTCAGACTTCAATGCGAGACCCAGGAGAGGGAACCACCTTCCTGTCACCACAGAAGAGGGTAACCACAAATACCTGCACAAGGTGCGCTCTCCCCAAAACGCTCAGAGTCCCTGCAGCCACAGCCTGCATGCACCCTCCTGCTATTAAGGGGGACCCTGCTCTCTCAGGCTGCCTGGATTCCTGCTGTTGGAATGAAGCTCGGGGTGACTGAGAGCTCCCCAATGGCCAGCCTCAAGTCTCCCTATTCTCTATGCATGGCCCAGACGCAGCAGCATCACTGGGGGCTGCTAGGAAACGAACCATCTCCCCCAGACCTCCAAAATCAGCAACTGCTTTTGGATGAGCCCTCAGGAGGCCCACACACCCAGAGGAGACAGACACTGCAAGGCCATGGACACTTCCTTTAGGGGCCGGCTGGATCCACAGCCGGCTTGGTAGTGTTGCCCCAGCACCCCCTGCACTCTGCTTTCCACAATCCGGTGCCCCTCCCAAGTGCGACTGCATCGAATCCCCAGGACAACTCTACAGCCAGAGGCAGAGTGATATGCTCAAACGCACAGGCAGGCTGCCGGACAATGTAGGGCCCATGTGCCATCCCACAGAGCTGGTCCGACTCTGGAGCCCATTTGTCCCACACAGCTCAGAGGATGCCGCTCCTGAAGGTGCTGTGACAGGGTTGAAGAATCACGATAGAATGAAAGACAGGAAGGTCATGCCAGTGGGACCTGCGCACCATGGACTGCAACACCTGGCAGGCCCTCTCAGATGTTAGTCACTCGCCTCTCCCAGAGACCCAGGAGCCCACGGCCCCACTGCCGTCCTACCACACAGCACAGGAGCTTGTCACCTCTTAGCCTGGTTCCACCTCAGGGGCAGTCACCAGAGCTCCCAGCCAGAAAGACACCACCCCACTCCTGAACCCGAAACCAGTGCTCCCGAGAGCACTCCAAGGCAGCTCCAGCGAGGAGGACCAGAGTGGCCTCTGTTGGCTGGCCAGGTCCTCAACCGCAACGCTGGGGGCATTTTCCCAGGGGGGCCTGCCTTCGGGCCAGTCAACTGCCTCACGAACCACACTGCCTTGCAACACAACTCTTCAAAGCATGGCAGCTGTTGGGATTTCACTAGATCTTTCCTTTTTAAAACACAAGACAACTAAAATCTCCATCCATAAATCTGCTCATGGAACGTGAAGTCTGCCTGGCATGGCTGGTACCCACACTGCACTGCCCAACCACATACAGCACCAGGCACATGACCTGGCACCGGTAAACCACCTGAGGTGAAGGCACCTACCCGGAAGGGCTGGCAATCGCACCGGCACCCTTTCTCACAGGTGTGCACCAGGCAGGGCCAGGCCACAACTTGGACGTTGCAGGCAGCCATCAGAGGCTGGCCTTCCCAGCAAAGGGGTTCCATGGATGCTCAGAGCCCTACTCGTGGCTCTGTCCTCCTGACCTACACACTAGCAGCAACCTGACTGTCCTCTGTCCACAGCCTGTGGTTCACCCCCCAGGTGCAAAGACCTAAGTTTTGTTCACTGTCACCTCAGAAGTGCCTAGAACAGTGGCAGGCATCCGGATAGGGACTGGTGCTAGCTGGTGCATGGGCAGATGGATGCAGCCCTGTCTTGCTGTCCCTGGCTTTGCAGATGTCTGGAGGTCCTCTTCTGCAGCAAGTACGGGTCCACAGTCACCAAGCCAGCAGCTGGAAAGCAAGCACACTGCCCACTGCCAGGTGCTCCCCTGGGCTGGGACACAGGGGCCGCCCCTCACCCCACCAGGCTGGGCCGAGGGCAGTTTCCACCAGACTCCAGGCAAGCCATCTGCTCAGCAAGGCTGAGTGGCTTTTGGAGAGCATTCCTTCTCAAAGCAGTGGCCCTGGAAGTTGCCATGCCACAAAAATTTTCTTCAACTTACTCTCTTGGCAGCTCTGAAATTATTCCAGAGATTACGTAAGGAGGAAGAAAGAAGCCATGGGAGTTTTGCAAAGCCAGCCACTAGACCAACATGAAAGCCAAGTACCAAAGCCATGTGGTGGCTTGGCGACAGGATGACCTGAAAGGTGGATGAGTAGAGGGCAGGGCAGGATGAGTAAAGGCCTGCGCCATCCAGTGGCTAGGGTAGCGATGACGAACCTTTCAGAGCTTTCAATGATATAAAGAGCCCACTGCGCCACGTATGTCATACGTTCACCACCACTGGGCTTAAGGGAAGGGCACAGTGGAGGACATCACAGCTCTCTAGGTCACTTGTGCTAAGAGTGGAAGGAACTACTTCCTCCCCATCTTCCCCAAGGGGCGGGGATACCTGGGTGGCCTTGACCCCGCCAACAGTGACTGGGCTGGACTGGACCCCACCAGCACTTCCTACTCTGGCCCTGAACCACCTGCATCCCACAAGAGGGGAAGGGGCAGCAAAACCACCCTGAAGGCCAGGACTTGGGATCTCAGCCCTCAAGTGTCCAAGCCAAGGCAGGCTCCGAGTGGGTTCCAGGAGAAGCAGAGCTGTGGCCTGGAGAGGTAGCCACATGGCGACAGAGAAGATTCCCTTTTCACTGTGCTTCCTCCTACAGGTCTCTGCCTCGTGATACTTCCTCAGTATCTGAAATCCTTTATTAAAACATGTTTCTTTATGTCTGCATTTTCCCACCTTCCAGAGAGGTGGTGTCACACACAACTGGCGACTGAGCGACTAAGAGCAGGAAAAGGAACACACATTTCATGACACCTACAGCAGATTAGAGAGGGAAAGCTGGCTCTGGTGCCTACTTCCTGTCACCACACCAGACAGCTCTGCCCAGGCAACTTGTGACCAAAGCTGGGTCCCATCAGGCCCGCCTCAGCCGCGCCTGGGAGCACCTCCAGCCCAAGCTCAGGCCCTTCTTCCCCTGTGCTCTTCTCAGCTCTGCCGGGCGGTCCCTTCTCAGACACTCAACTCCGCGGCGGGTCCACAAGCACCCCCCCAACCCACCGCACATACAGCCACCCCCACCCCAGGCCCGAGGCGGTCTTCTGTGGGGCCTGCCTCAACCCCATGGCCACATGACACGAGCACAGCTGCTCTGTGGTATCCCGGCTTTCTAAGCAGCAGCAGGCACACCCCAACAGAGCGCTGGCCCAACACACGGCCGCCCACCCGGCCCCTAGGCCTTCCTCTCCTCTGAGGAGACAGGAGCCCCGTCACTGTCCATGTGTGGCCTGAGCCCCAACAGCTCCGGGGACGCAGAGACCACAGCCGTCCCTAGCAGATCCCGGAGCAGAGACTGACACCCAGGTCTGACCCACAGGCCCAGCTCAGCGGAGAACCAACGGGGAAACAACCCCGCCCCTTCCGCCGAGTGATCTTCCCACACTGGTGCAGCAAGTCACACAGATGCCATACAGCAGACACTGCTCGGCCCACTTACCGCTCCTTCCTGGGGCCGCATCACCTGCATCAGGACCCTGGGAACATGGAGTCCTCTGTTGCAGCTGCCAGCACCACTGCGGCCCTCTCCCAGGGCAGGGCACTCCACTTCTCTGCAGGTCCCGTTCTGCAGCCCAGAGTGGAACGCACACTCTCACACTGACTTTCTTCTCTCACTGCTTCCTCAGGAATCATTTCTGTAGGGCTCAGCAGATCCTGAGAATCCAAGCCCTTTGCTGGCAACTGGTACTGCTCTTCCTTCTCAGCTTGCCCAGGCCCTGGCCCCACCAGGGGAGGAGGACAGGACTCTGCCAAGATCCCAGGGAGGCAAAGAGCCACCACCTGGCACATCAGGATACTCTCCTGACCCTATCGTGTGTCCCTTGACATGGCACAGGTATGGCAAGTGTCTCTGAATGTGAACACCTGCAGGGGGAGGACAGGCACAGACACTGATATACATGCTGCCCACACCGCGACTGAAGCCTCAACCATGGAGAGCACAAGGGCACCTGCTCACAGGGCCCCAGAGAGCAGGCTGCCTCCCCCACCACTCCAACTCGGAGCTGCCGGTACTGCACCTAGGGAGGGTGACAACTCCTCTGCAGGGACGTATGTGAGGGCAGAGGTTCCAGGTGTTTGGGATTTGGACTGGGCCCTCCAGTCTAAGTATCTCTCCTGTATCATCCCTAACCCTTCCAAAAAGGAGAGGGGTGACACAACCAGAGGACCTCTCCTTGCCCTGGGCGGAACGAGGCTCCAAATGGGGCTCTATGGCTTGCTGTCCTCTGTCCCTTCACTCCCCTACATGTCTGTGCTGCAGCCTCAATCTGCAATCAGACAGCCACAAGATGAGCCATGCTTCACTTCCCCCACTTCAGGGGCAGCACTTGAAACTCAGGGAAGGGCTCCCCCAGGGCCAAATCCAGTGGGCAGGACCTGAGCCCTGGGCCCTGAGGGTCTGGCCCCATCTCAGGGCTCCCCCGCTGCTCTGCTTCGCACTGCATCCCGGCATGACGCATGACGTAGCCTAAGCTCCTCTGGTAGTACCTTGTCCAGGCAGGCAACTGGCTGGTACTGATCGTTGTTTGCCACTGTCCTTCCTGTGTAACATTCAAGACAGCCATTGGAACACCCAGCCAAGCTGCCCTGCCTCGGCAGAAAGGTAAGGTGATTTTCAAAGATGAGCGCAGTAAAACAAGCACACACCCTCACCACCCCAAGGCGCCCTCTCCCACCCTGGTTCCTAGCATCGAGGGACTGCCGCCTGGGGTTTCTCAGCCACAGTCGCCCCACGCTCCCACCACGTCACATGATCCTTTGCCAGGACGTCTGTAACTGGCTCCCTTAGAGCTGCCAGAGCCTAGGCTTGGCATGGTCCCCCAAGGGCTCTGGGGACATGAGAGCAATGCCCCTGGCCTGCTTCCAAATGTAACCTATTGTCCTCATAGGCACAGCAGCATGGTCTGGTGGCACAGTCTGTCTGCCCCATCCATGATCTGGAACCTCAACACAGCAAATAAAACCCACAGCATCTGTACCCAGTGAGAAGTTGTGTCAGTGCCTGCTCTGCACCCACACACCCTCCTTGGCCTGCTGGGCTGGACCCAGCACAGTGCCTGACAACCCTCTGCTGCTCTGTCCTGCCACGCCGGCACCGCGAGGCTTCACTTCTGGCACCTGCGCATCGGGCACACTGTGCTGTGCCCGTTGTCTGTAACAGGCTTCAGAACAGACAGACTGTCACGGAGAAAATGTGCTGTAAGGACACAAGAATCAGATACAGAGAGGCCAGCAGTCACAGAGAAACGGGACAATCCTGCTGCACAGAAATCCAAAGGCAACAGGAAACAAGACAAGTCATAAAAAGCATGGTACATTTATGGGGAGACAAAACAGACCAAATTCCGGATTGCACTCACACTCCTCAAGCCTCCCCATGGAACACACACCCCAGTCAGTTCCTGGAGCGGCCCCAAACATCCCCAGAATCCCAGGCAGAGATCTCTGTCAGGACAGGTTCCCAGTACCACCAGACCATTTCCTCTTACTCCCCTCGAAATCCCTTCCATTTTACTCTTGTCCTAAGCAAGAGTATCTGGGCTTGGATGATATTTGACAGGACCTATTTTTTTTCCTATGACCCATTAAGATAAACACACAGTTATCAAAATAAAATGGGTACCCCTCCAAGCCTGTAATGTGCTTTTCCGTGGCAGGAAATACTGTTCCCCTCACCCCCACCCCCACCCTGGGGCCCTGCAAATCACAGCAGGATCTCATACCTTTCACAAAAGGCACACTGTGAACATGACCCAGGCATCTTGGGGAGACAGAGGCCTAGTACCAAGCGGCAGTGGAAGGAAGTGCAAGACACTGCTCTCCTAAGTCCCCCCTCTTTTTTATTTTTTAATTAATTAATTAATTAATTTTTTTGGTACCAGGCATCGAACTCAGGTCCTTGCGCTTGCGCACCAGGCGGCGAAACCACTGAGCTAAATCCCCAGCCCCCCTCCTTTTTTAAAAATTAAATCCCCGAGGGCCAGGAATTTAGCTCAGTGGTTCCACTGCCTGCCTTGCAAGTGCAAGGTCCTAAATTCGATCCCCGGTACCAAAAAGAAAAAAGAAAAAAAATTAAATCCCTGAGCCATACATAAAAGGCGCAGAGTAGCCAGGAAGAGGCCTGAGGCATTGCTGCCCTCCTACTCAGCACTCTCACCCTCCAGGGCCTTCCAGCAGAGGAGACAGGCAGAAGGTCCTAGGGTCAGAAGCACAGGCACACACAGCATGGGTCAGGGGAGGGAGAAGCAGCAGAGGCAAGCATGCTGGCGACAGAGAGGAGGCCGGGCGAAAGCTGGGGTTCCCTAGCAGATCACAGTGAGGGAGACGTGGTGAGAGGGGCTGCAGATCCAGTCACCTGAGGAGCACCCTGATTCCCTCAGACCAACCCCTCCTGCCCACCAGAGCCGACTCCCAGCCGTACCTCATCGCTGGCCGGGGGCCAGAGCAAGGCTTCCTCCAAGCACCTTGGCTGTGCAGGAGGAGCTACTTCCCCTCCCCGGTGCCGTGGGTCTCATCTCTGCCAGGGACGGTACCAAGAAGCATTCAGAGCACTAGACAGATGGCCGGTATAGCGCCTGCCCTGGGCCCCTACAGAAGTCTCGCCACCAAAGGGCACTAGCGTGTCACAGAAGCCCAGAAGTCAGACCCAGGTAAGTGTAAACTCCTCCCCGGCTGTGCTGCCTACCACCTGAGAGATGGTAGGGGCTTAGCACAGGTAGGGAGCAGAGCACGGCCCTTACAGAGCAGTGAGGCACTGTCCCAGTGGTGCTGTGCCCTCTCCTGCGTCCCCTTGAGCCATGCTCCCCTGTGTCTGGGCAGCAGCCACACCACCTTGCTGTGCCTTCACCCTTGGCAAAGCCCTGGGTCCC